GAGTCTCCTACCCTCAGGTCCAGCAGCCACATGATTCTGCAGCAGACTGGGACCTAGAGCACATCTGGATTTCAGCCCCACCCCTGGCAACCTGCCTGCTTAGAGAACCCTCAAGATGACAGAATCCCCAGGATTCCACCATTCAGAGTAATTCTGGTATCCTGGGCATTGCGTTAAGTTGCTTAACTTTCATTCTGTCTTACAACAGCCTTCAGAGGTGGGAACAGGTGAAGAAACCATGCCCCAGAGAAGGTTAAGTGACTTCCTCTTCATGGAGCCAGTATTCCAACCTAGGTTTGCCTGATACCAGACCTGTGGCCCCACCTCCCATGCGGGTCTCTGTGGGGTCTTTGGGTTGGATCTCCTAGAGCTGGGCTGGAAGCCTCATGTACTGTTGTCCTCTAGGTAACCACCCTGAAGAGAAGGGGTGGCATCAGGAACCACAGGGAACTGAGCAGCCTTTGTTCCAGTGCTGCTCCTTGGAACAGTTGATTGCAGACTCAAACCATTTTCCTGGGCAGCTCAGTCATAAAACACCAAATGCTTCCTTAAAATAGCTTCTGAGGGACGGGAGCTGTTGACAAGTGAAGCCCTCAGGTTGTGTGGGATTCCAGCAGGTTATTACAGCTTGTCGGGGAAGGGAGGGTCCATTCCACCAGCTTTGAATCCCAGGGTCCCCTGAGCTTCCCTGGGCCACAGTGTATGTCCCTGGAAGAAGGAAATAGACAGTGAGGATGATGGAGAGACTACAGCTGCCTTGTCTAAAACCTAGGATCTTAAAAGCATTATTTTGGTTTTTTTTTTTTTTTTTTTAAAAGGAAAATTGGCAATTGTATTAATCCATTCTCGCATTGCTATAAAGAAATACCTGAGACTGGGTAATTTAATTTATAAAGAAAAGAGGTTTAATTGGCTCACAGTTCTGTGGGCTATCCAGGAAGCATAGCAGCATCTGCTTCTGGGGAGGCCTTAGGAAACTTACAGTTATAGGGGAAGGCAAAGGGGAAGCAGACACATCTTACGTGGCCGGAGTAGGAGCAAGGGGGCGCGGGAGGAGGTGCCACACACTTTAAACAACCAGATCTCAAGAACACTTTCAAGAGGACAGTACCAAGAAGATGCTGTTAAACCATTCATGAGAAATTCACCCCTATGATCCAGTCACCTCCCACTAGGCCCCACCTCCAAGATTGGGGATTACATTTCAATATGAGATTTGGGTGGGGACACACATCCAAACCATATCAGCAGTATTGGACTTTTTTCATGAAAGAGAAGGGGCACAAGAGGGTATCTGGAGCTAGCCTCTAGAGTGTTGGTATGGAAAATCTCTCCAGTGTTTGAAAAGCATACCAGTTGCCTAGTCTTCCATTAATTGTTCAAATGAAGAAACCCAAAAAGCAGAACTTCCTAAGGGTCACACAGCCAGTTACAGGCAAAAGCCAGATGTCCTGGTTCTCAGTCCTTGCCTGTCCCGTTCTGCCACAGATACTGCAGCCAGAGGCCAGGCATGGTAGCTTATGCCTGTAATCCCAGCACTTTGGGCGGCCAAGGTGGGTGGGTCACCTGAGGTCAGAAATTCGAGACCACCCTGGCCAGCATGGTGAAACCCCGTCTCTACTAAACATACAAAAATTAGCCAGGTATGATGGCACAAGCCTGTAATCTCAGCTACTCAGGAGGCTGAGGCAGGAGAATCGCTTGAACCCGGGAGGCGGAGTTTGCAGTGAACCAAGATTGTGCCACTGCACTCCAGCCTGGGCAACAGAGTGAGACTCAGTCTCAAAAAAAAAAAAAGAAAAGTGTAAAGATATAAAGAAAAAATGTTTTTGTATACTTGCACAGTGTGTGTTTTAAGCTAAATGTTATTACAAAAGAGTCAAATTTTAAAGTTAAAAAGCTTATAAAGTTAAAATGTTACATTAAGCTAAGGGTAATTTATTATTGAAGAAGGAAAATTTTTCTTTTTAGAGACAGAGTCTTGCTCTGTTGCTCTCACTGGAGTGCAGTGGTATGATCCTATCTCACTGTAGCCTTAAACTCCTGGGCTCAAGCAATCCTCCTGCCTCAGCCTCCCAAGTAGCTGGCACTACAGGCATGCACCACCATGCCCAGCTAATTTTTTTTTTTTCCTGTGGAGATGGGGTCTCACCACGTTGCCCACACTGATCTCTAACTACCAGGCTCAAACAATGCTCCTGCCTTGGCCTTCCAAAGTGTTAGGATTACAGGGGTGAGCCAGTGCACCCAGCCCATTTTTTATACTGTTTTTTACTGTACCTTTTCTAGGTTAGATATGTTTAGATACACAAATACCATTGCATTACAGTTGCCTACAGTATTCAGTACAGGAACATGCTGCACAGGTTTGTAGCCTAGGAGCAGTAGGCTATACCATATAGCCAAGGTGTGAGTACACTATACCATCTAGGTTTATGTAAGTATACTTTATGACTGCACAATGACAAAGTCGTCTAACAACACATTTCTCAGAGCATATCCCCATTGTTAAGCATGGGAACTATATAATGCCTTTATTATAGATACATGACTGTATAATAAGGGCTATATGATAAGCCAGAGTTACCAGGGCACTTGGGAAACTTATTTTTTTTATTTTTTAGAGACAGAGTCTCTCTCTGTTGCCCAGGCTGGGATGCAATGACATGATCTTGGCTCCCTGCAACCTCCTCCTCCTGGGGTCAAGCGATTCTCCTGCTACAGCCTCCTGAGTAGCTGGGTCTACAGGCACACACCACCACGCCCGGCTAATTTTTGTATTTTTAGTAGAGATAGGATCTCACCATGTTGGCCAGACTGGTCTCTGACCTCAACTCCTGACCACAAGTGATCTACCTACCTCAGCCTTCCAAAGTGCTGGGATAACAGACCTGAGCCACTGCACCCAGCCTACAAAATGTTTTTTTAAAAATTAGCCAAGCGTGATGGTGCATTCCTATTAGTCCCAGCTACTCAGGAGGCTGAAGTGGGAGGACTGCATGAGTCCAGCAGTTCAAGGCTGCAGTTAGCTCTGACTGCACCACTATACTCCAGCCTAGGCAATGATGCAAGACCCTGTTGGGGGGGTGGGGGGAAACGCGCGTGTGTGTGTGTGTGTGTGTGTGTGTGTGTGTGTGTATGTATATACACACATGCACAAAACATAGAATTTACCATTTTAACCAGTTTTAAGTGTACAGTTAATGGCATTAAGCACATTCATAGTGTTGTGCAACCATCACCACCATCCATATCCAGAATTTTTCATCTTCTCAAACTAAAACTCTCCACCTATTAAATACTAACTCCCCATTCCTCCCCCACTCACTGGCAACCACCATTTTACTTTCTGTCTCTGAGTTCAATTATTGCAGGTACCTCATACAGTATTTGTCCTTTTTTTTTTTTTTTTTTTTTTTTTTTTGAGACAGTCTTGCTCTGTTGCCCAGGCTGGAGTGCAGTGGCACAATCTCAGCTCACTGCAACCTCCTGCTCCCAGGTTCAAGCAATTCTGCCTCAGCCTCCCGAGCAGCTGGGACTACAGATGCGTGCCACCACCCCCTGCTAATTTTTTGTATTTTTAGTAGAGGTGGGTTTTCACCATGTTAGCCAGGATGGTCTCAATCTCCTGATCTCATGATCCACTGGCCTCAGCCTCCCAAAGTGCTGGGATTATACAGGCATGAGCCACCACTCCCAGCCTTGTCCTTTTTTTTTTTTTTGAGACAGGTCTCACTCTGTGGCCCAGGCTGGAGTGCAGTGGCACAATCATGGCTCAGTTCAGCCTCAACTTCCTGGACTTGAGTGATCCTCCCACCTCAGCCTCCTGAATAGCTGGGGCAACAGGTGTGCACCTCTATGCCCAGGCTAATTTTTTTTTTTTTTTTTTTTTTGTATCTTTGTTAGAGGTGGGGTTTCTTTCTTCTTTTTCTCTTTTGTGTTTTTTTTTTTTTTTTTTTTTTTTTTTGGAGACAGAGTCTCGCTCTTGTCACCTAGGCTGGAGTGCAGTAGCACAATCTCAGCTCGTTGCAACCTCCGCCTTTCGGGTTCAAGCAGTTCTGCCTCAGCCTCCCAAGTAGCTGGGATTACAGGTGTGCGCCACAACACCTGGCTAGTTTTTGTATTTTTAATAGAGACGGGGTATCGCCATGTTGGCCAGGCTGGTCTTGAACTCCTGACCTCGGGTGATCCGCCGGCCTCGGCCTCCCAAAGTGCTGGGATTACAGGCGTGAGCCACCACACTCGGCAAGATGGGGTTTCGCCATGTTGGCCAGGTTGGATTCAAACTCAAGGGATCTGAACAGCTCGGCCTCCCAAAGTGCTGGGATTACAGGTGTGAACCACCGCACCCCGGCCCAGCATTTGTCCCTTGGTGGACTGCCTTATTTCACTTAGCATAACGTCCTCAAGGTTCATCTATGTTGCAGCAGGTGTCAGAATTCCCATTGTGGTATACGCCCCATTTTGTTTATCCATACATCTGTTGATGGGCATTCAGGCTGTTTCTGCCTTCGGGCTGTTGTGAAGAATGCTGCTATCAACACGGGTGTGAGAATATCTGTTCAAGTCCCTGGCTATATTTAAATTCTTTTGGATATTTAGCCAGAAGTGGAATTACTGGATCATCTGTTAATTCTATTTTTGATTTTTTGAGGAACCACCAATACTATTTTTCACAGCAGCCGCAGCATTTTACACTCCCACCAGCAATGCACAAGGGTTCCATGAAATCACTAATTTTATAACTAACTTTTTTCCTGATTACATGTTCACTGTACTACATTTAGAAAATGCAAGAAATAAAATTTAGAAAATTAAAATTCCCCTTACTCTACATACTGGGACAGGACTTGAATTTTTATTATCCCCAACAAAGGGAAGAGAGCGTTTTTCTGGGACGATTGCGTTGCTATAGTGCCGAGGCCTGCCCTGCCGGAACCCAAGCTCCGCCGATCCCGCCGTCCCCGCGACCCCAAGGATCAGCAGTTGAAGTTCACGCAGTTGAACTGGCTTCTGAGTGTATTTGTGGATAATTCCTGGAAGGGTCGCAGACACGACATGGGGTTGTCACATTCTCTGTGGGTCTGTTTCCTCGTCTTTAAAAGCCGTCTCTGCGTTGCTAGGGCAAAGCATAAAATGTTTAAGGAAAGTGACTTGTCTAGAAAAGCACGTGCTACAAACACACCATCTACGTTCCGAACTGAGCTTCGGTGTTTTGACTGGAGGGCACCTGAGGACGTCAGTACGGTCCCGCAAACACCAGCACCCAGATTGGCAAGCAGGGGGCAGGAGAATTTCCCGCCCCCTCTTACTTCTTTAGGTGTCTATTGGTTGATTTTACCATCAGTCGCCCCTATCCTCCTATCATCGCCGCTATTTGTTCATACTCTCATTGGCCCTACCTGCAGTCGCTCTACGTAAGGGGCGTTCCAGAGTCAGCCACTGGAAGTCGCTGGATTCGGGTTTTAAAAAACGCCGGCGGTGAAGTGGGCGGAGCGAGCGATTTGAACGCGAGCGGCGCGGACTGCGGCCAAGCACCGGCTCCTGTGAGGCTCGCGGCCCAGCGTTCTCTGGGCTCCCCAGAAGCCAGCCTTTCGCCCCCGGACCCGGCCGCCCGAGCAGGAGCCGTGGGGCCGGGCGCCGGCACCCTCCGCGGCGTGCCATGGGCCCGCGCCGCCGGAGCCGCAAGCCCGAGGCCCCGAGGAGGCGCAGCCCGAGCCCGACCCCCGGCCCCTCCCGGCGGGGCCCCTCCTTAGGTAACTGGCCGCGGCCCATCTCGTAGAGGAGAAAACCGAGGCTCGCAGGCGGAGCCCGGATCTCCCGAATCCCGATCCCGTGGCCTTCCCTGCTAGGGGACAACGCGGTTCCGCCGTCTGGCATCCGCTCCGGGCACGGGCGGTGGCAGCCCTGCGAGGGACTGGAGCAAGCGGTTCCGAAAGCGGGAAGGGACCGGCGCAGCCACTTGGCTCCTAACGCCGTCTTCTTGTTAGGACTAGCGGTTACCCAGCGCCCACCGCCAACCAGGCATTGCGTCCCACTGTTCGTGCGTTATCTCAGCTTCATATCGTGCCCATTTTACAGCTAATGAGAAAGCCAAGGCACAAGCCAGGGAGCTTGAGCAGAGTCACACAACTTGTTCTGGCGGACACGGGATTTCCAATCCTCTGTGTTTGTGCTTTTTTAGATTGCACAAGTATTGACTGCTTTCGGTGACGATTTCAAACAGGAGTCCTCTTAGGAGGTGCCTTTCAGGTTTTTTTTCCCCTTCCGGGACAGGCTGTTAGGCCTCGAACCGAGGCCTTCTGCGCTGCTCACGCTGTTGCGTTCCAGAGCTTGTGTCCGGGGAAAGAGGGGCCAAAGTCTGTGTCTTCATTGTCTGTGTGGTAGGCTGGTGGATGGGAGATCCAAGGGCAGGAGGAGGCAGATGCCTGTGTGGTACACGGTGGCAACAGCTGCTTTACTTATCTCTTAACTCTTGCTGCATAGCTAGGAAGAAGATGGGAAGTGTATTGTAGAGTTTGTCTGTTTCATTGTTTTTTATAGAGACTCGGTCTCCCTATGTTACCCAGGCTCGTCTCAAACTCCTGGTGATCCTCAAGTGATCCTCCTGCCTGGGCCTCCCAAAGTGCTGGGATTACAGGCATGAGCCACTGTGCCTATAGGCTTTTTGTTTTTTTGTGTTTTTTTGAGACCTATCGCCCAGGCTGGAGTGCAGTGATGCCATCAGGGCTCACTGCAGCCTCAACTTCCCAGGCTCAGGTGATTCTCCCACCTCAGCCTCCCGAGTAGCTGAAACTACAGGCATATGCCACCATGCCGGCTAATTTTTTGTATTTTTAGTAGAGATGGGGTTTTGCCATGTTGCCTAGGCTGGAGTAGGTTGTTTCTAGATGTTGCTGTTGCGGATGGGATTTTTTTTCTTTCCCAAAACACAAGCATTTAACCTTTGCATCCAGCCAACTTGCTGACTTCTCGTTCATCCTAGTCTCTTTTAGTTGCTTCAATTGAAATTTTTAAGTAGACTATTATGTCATCTGCACATAACTTTAGAATCTTTCATTTTCGTCTCTAAACATTTTATTTCTTATTGTATGGTATTAGTAAGGCCCTGAGACTCACTAAGAGTGGTGTTTTGGCCATCTTTGTCTTATTTGTAATTTTAACGGGAATATGAAGTATGATGTTTGCTGTTGCTTTCCAAGGTAGAAGCATCCTTCTACTCCTGATCAAATGGAAGGTTTATCTCAAATGGGCAGTCAACACTTCTTGGCAGTCCTACCACCTTTGTCTGGTATTCTTTCTTCAGTTTTAGAGACGGAGTCTCACTCTGTCGTCCAGGCTGTAGTGCAGTGGTGCTATCTTGGCTCATTGCGGCCTTGACCTCCTGGGTTCATGCAATCCTCTTGCTTCAGCCTCCCGAATAGCTAGGATGACATGTGCACCACCATGCTTGACTATTTTTAAAGCTTTTTTGTAGAGACAAATTGTTTTGTCTCTACAAAGAAAAGCCATCGTGCCTGCCCTTTGTCTGGAATTCTTGCTTTTCCATTCTCCCCATGACTATTTCATACCTTTTTCTCCTTCCTCGACTTCCTACAGCTCCATTCCCCCTACTCTTAGCCAATGATGGCCTTGACTAGGTGTCCCCCTTCCTATCAAAGCTCTTCCTCCTTCTACATGGGGTCTTGGTCATATCCTTCTTTCACCTACAAAGGAGCTTTCTACCTGTGCTTAGATAAATCCAGACACTTAACACTGGCATTGGCACATGTGCTCTAGTATTTATGATCTTTTTTTTTTTTTTTTTTTTTTGAGGCAGAGTTTCCCTCTTGTTGCCCAGTCTAGAGAGCAACGGTGATCTCGGCTTACCGCAACCTCCACATCTTGGGTTCAAGTGATTCTCCTGCCTCAGCCTTCCGAGTAGCTGGAATTACAGGCATGCGCCACCACATCTGGCTAATTTTGTATTTTTAGTAGAGATGGGGTTTCACCATGTTGGTCAGGCTGGTCTCCAACTGCCAACCTCAAGTGATCCGCCTGCCTTGGCCTCCCAGAGTGCTGGGATTACAGGTGTGAGCCACCGCTCCCAACCATATTTATGATCTTAAGAGAAAGGGCAGGGGTGTTTCCTTGACCCCACATTCTCACTTCCCTATACCTCCCATTTCTCTCTATTTCCCTTCATAGCTCTCCTTTTAAAATAGCCAGACTTGTTAGGTCCACATACATTGCGTCTGATTCCTCACTTCCTAGTGACCCTACAACCCACTCCAATCTGACTCCCCACAACCAGTATCCCACTTCTAATTTGCTTGAACTACTCCTGTCAGGGTCACCAGCACCTTTTGTAGTGCCAAATCCAGTAGGCGGGTCTGTGTTCTTACTGTGTCTCAGAAGCATTTGATGCAGTGGGCCTCTTTCTCCTTGAAGCATTCTGTTCCCTTGGCTTCCAAGCCACTGTGCACTCTGGCAGTTCTGCTTAGTGTTCTTTACTGCTTGTGCTGCCTCCCTCCGCTCCTTGATGTTGGACTTCCTTGACATTCTTTTCCTTTCTACCCCCTCCCTAGATGGTCTCATCTCCTCAGTGGCTCTAAATCCCACCGAGATTTACATTGACAGCTCTCAAATTTATGTATACCTGGATCTCTCCTCTAACCCCAGATACCTATATCTAACTGCCTTTCTATCTGAAGGCTCGTGGTTATGTTAAACTTAACACACCCAGAACTGAACTTCTGGTTACTCCCCTCCAGCCCCTTCATCCTCAGTTTGCCCATTTCAGTAAATGGCACAACTACCCACCCAGTTGTTCAAACCACAAGCCTGGGAGACCACCATCTCCAATACAAATGCAAGTCCAGATAATTCTACTTCCAAACTGCTCCTTAATCACTCCATTTTCACCATCTCTGCTCCCACTACCCTAGTCCAAGCCACCAGCGTCTCTCAAGAGCAACTGTGAGAGCCCCCTAATCAGCTGCTAATCCACTTCCACTCTGTCCCTTTCCACTTCTTTCCTTACACAGCAGCTGGGGTGACCTTCAACATCTCTATTCTGCTTAAAACTCTTCCCTGGCTTCTTCTTACGTTAGGATTAAATTCCATCTCTTCATGTTGGCATTTCAAGACCCAACTACTAAATTTTTGATCCCAGTTCTTTTCCATGATCTCTCTAATTGGTTACTTTTCAGAACCACTTGTCCTTGGTTCATGGATTTCATATCTCTGTTACCTCTCTGAGATTGTTATCCATTTTTCTCTCGAGGTTTCTATCTCTTTTCTCTATTAACTCAATTTCGTCTGGTATTGGTTATTTTGTTTGTTGAGTTTGGTTCCTTTCTTTCATGGTATTGGCCTTCTTAAATTGTTGGGTGATCTTTAGTTGTGTTCATCTTCACATTTTCTGTGAATGCTATGTCTTGTTTATTTTTTTATTTTATTTATTTATTTTTGTTTGTGACGGAGTCTTGCTCTTGTTGCCCAGGCTGGAGTACAACGATGCAAGCTCAGCCCACTGCAGCCTCCACCTCCTGGGTTCAAGCGATTCTCCTGCCTCAGCCTTCCAAGTAGCTGGGATTACAGGTGCCCGCCACCCCGCCCAGCTAATTTTTGTATTTTTAGTAGAGATGGGTTTCTCCATGTTAGTCAGGCTGGTCTCGAACTCCTGACCTCAGGTGATTCACCCACCTTGGCCTTCCAAAGTGCTGGATTACAGGCATGAGCCACCGCACCCAGCCCTATGTCTGTTTATTAAAGACTGCCTCCAGTGACTGGATTGCCAACTGGTGGTGGGGAGGGAGGGAGGTGTCAGTAGCTCGTCTCCTGGGTATGGGTCCTCCCTCTTTTAAATGTCACCAGTCTCCTGGACACTGCCCTGTTTCATTGGCTTATGTTCCCTAGCCTCACCCAGGGATGATCTTCTCTGCCGGCTGCCTGGCACAGGCCGTCTCTGGATTGTCTCACCTTCCCCACTTGCTCTTGCAGCTCTTCTAACACTTTGTGATTAGTTTATTGTATTAAATGCCTTCTGTTGAACTTGGTGTAGAGTCTCTTTCCTTGGCTGGATCTTGAATAACATTTCTGAAACAATTTTATCCTTCAAAATGTTATTTTTGTATTTTGTTTGTTTGTTCAACTTATCGGAGGTTCACTCATCTTGGTCCTTGGTTGTAATTATGGAGCAACTGTGCTGTTTTTTCTTTAACTTTCATTTTCACTAACTTATTATCTAATATTTCTTTTGTTCTATCTTGTTGTGGTTTACTTTAATAACTCTCTAATACTTAATTTGAATGCTTAGCTCAGATATCTTTTAATGTTCTTGTTTTCTAATAGGTACACTTTAAGGCTATGCATTTTCCTCTAGTGCTATTTTGGCTGTATCTCATAGATTTTGGGGTATGGGCTTTTTATTGTTATTCATTTCTAAATAGTCTAATTTCAATTAAGTTTCCTCTTCAACACAGGGTTAGAAGAAACTGGTTTTTATATTCATGAGTTTTTAATTTCTGATTAGAGAATTTGACTTTTTTGATTTCTATTTTTGGGAATATTTTTAAGGTTATTTTCTTTTTTGTTCTTGTTGGAACCAGGATTTGAGCCAAAGACTCTGACTCCACAGCCCAGGTGCCTGACACTGGCACTGAGTTAGGCCATTCCTTACACAGGTCTCAGCTTGGCCACTAATGAGGGCTGACCAACTGTCTTCACCTCGCTGGGCCTCAGGATAATCAAGACAAGAGAATTATACTAGTCCCTCAGATTCTTTCCAGCTGTAAAAAACAAATAAGAAATCGAAAAACAAAACAATTGAACTTCCAATCTAGGTGAGAAAGATCTAAGACTTGTACAAAGTCCTGCAAAGCCCAGAGGAGGACGGTCACCCATCTGTTTGGAAGGGATCAGGATTCGGGAAAGGCTTCATGGAAGAATTAGCATTTAAAATCAAATGCAGAGGATCATTCACTCATTCATTTAACAAAATATTTATTTAGCACCTATTTGCCGTTTTCTAGTTGCTGAAGATAGCAGCAAAATAACTATATATCAGGTTGATGCAAAAGTAATTGTGGTTTTTGCCATAACTGCAATGACTTTTGCACCAACCTAATAAAAAGACAAAAATCCCTGCTCTGTGGAGTGTAGGCACATAGATATAGTTTAGTGATTTGACAGCTTACCTGACTCAGCCAAGCTGTGAGGCATCACCTATTTTCCACTGAACTTACCTTTCTTTTGCTCAGGCCCTTCCTCCCGTCAACATGGTCGGCGGAGACAAGCTTGGCTAAAGGAGATCCGAAAGCTTCAGAAGAGCACACACCTCTTGATAAGGAAGTACCCCTTCAGCCGCCTGGTGAGCTCTGGGAGCTTCCCACCAACCCCTATACCACCTTCCTTTTTAAAATTTTCCCAGATATTAGGGACCCTACTGTCTCTTACCTAAATGACCAAGGGATCTCTTTTGTAACCTGGTAGGGGAATCTTTCCTGAAAACATGAGCCCTCCAAGAGCACCTTGTACTTCTTTATGGAATTGATTTCTAACCCCTACTACCTTTTTAAAACTGTAGTTTTTGACTATATAAATAGGAACTCTCTCATTTGTCCACCCTTGGATCCCTTTTGCTATCCTGGGAGATTGCTTCCCATCACCCAGTTACTGGTGATTTCCCCATCACCAGTAAGAGATCCGCCAGTTCCTAAGCTCCCAGGAGTCAACACCTGCTCCTAATTGGGTCCTAAGATTAAGGGCCAGGAAAACATAATGGAAAGGGGGATTCACTGGAACTCATGGAGAGCATCATTGTCCCTTGAATCTCTCTTCTGTTACTCCCTACTCCTACTCCTCCCCATCCCCACTCCTTCACAGGCAAGAGAAATATGTGTTAAATTCACTCGTGGTGTGGACTTCAATTGGCAAGCCCAGGCCCTATTGGCCCTACAAGAGGTAAGAAGGCACCAAGGCACAATTGGGTGAGGGCTGAGTGGGAGAAAGAGGCAGCCTAGAATTCTCCAAGGCTGACTGGAGTGTCACATGCTGAATCTGAACTCCTGGAAAAGAACAACAAGGTAACCCCTGAGGGTTTGGAGGCTGGATTCTGTGTGGTGACAGCAGAATTCCCTGGCAAAGTTCGGTCTCATTCTGTGAACAGTTTCCTACAGTCCTTTGTGCCCTCAGAGATTAAGTTTAGCGGGTCTGCAAGAAAAAGCAGCCTATGCCCCTTCATCTGTGTCCATCTTTTTTTCTCTTTCTGTCTCCAGGCAGCGGAAGCATTTCTAGTTCATCTCTTTGAAGATGCCTATCTCCTCGCCTTACATGCCGGCCGAGTTACTCTCTTCCCAAAGGATGTGCAACTGGCCCGGAGGATCCGGGGCATTGAGGCGGGACTCGGCTGAGCTCCTGCGCCCAGTGTTTCTGTCAGTCTTTCCTGCTCAGCCAGGGGGTAAGCGCACCCGCTTTCTCATGACTGGGGCTGGAATTTCTCAAGGAATTTCCTTTCTCCATCCTTAGTCCCTTGCCACCTCACCTTCCCTTTGTTCTCTAGTAAAGGTTTGATCTAGTTTTGACTGTCTGGGACTATGTGGCTTGTGCCCTTTTGTACAATGTTAGATAAAAGATATCCTTCTATTAAATAATGACCAGATGACCCCAATTTCTTTTGGTTGTTGTTGTTGTTGTTTTATTTTTATGAAACAGGGTCTCACTCTGTCACCAGTGGTGCCGTCGTGGCTCGTTGCAACTCCTGCCTTGGCCTCCCAAAGTGTTGAGATTATAAGAATCAGATGACCTCATTTTGATTAAGAGAAAACTTTCTCTTTTTTGATTAAGTTTTCTTACTTTTGAAAATGGCTTGTTAGTAAGTGTGCTTCCTTAATTTCAGGGATGATACCAGGGACTCTCTGGAGCCATGATTAGATCCAGTGGACTCTGCGATGCTGTCTGGACTTTGCTGTCTCTGAACAGTATGTGCATGTTGCTTTAAACTTTTTTTTTTTTTTTTTTTTGAGAAGAAGACTGCATGACTTTCCTCTGTAACAGAGGTAATATATGAGACAATCAACACCATTCCAAAGGCCTGAAAATAATTTTCAGATAAAGAGACTCCAAGGTTGACTTTAGTTTGTGAGTTACTCATGTGACTATTTGAGGATTTTGAAAACATCAGATTTGCTGTGGTATGGGAAAAAGGATATGTACTTATTATTTTAGATCTTTCTGTAGTATTTACATTTTTTACTATGTGTACATTTGTACTTCTATTTGACACATAAGGAAAAAAATAAGAGGAGAACACTTTGAGCAGTTGCCTGGAAGGCTGGGTATTTCCAGCATATAGACCTCTGCCCTTCAGAGTAGTCTCACCATTAGTGGCAGCATCAAGTAACTGAGTGGACTGTGCTTGTCCACACATGTGTAGCTTTTCAGAAACTTAATTGGGGATGAATAGAAAATCTGTAAGCTTTGATGTTCTGGTTCCTTCTAGTAAATTCCTGTCAAAATCAATTCAGAAATTCTAACTTGTAGAATTTAACATTTTACTCTTGTAAATCATAGAAGATGTATCTTATCAGTTCAGGATTTTAAAGTACCATTTCGATGCTTTTACAGGTATTTTCGTAGTGTCTTTGTAGAGAGATAATAAAAATCAAAATAATTATTTAATGAAAATGGACTTACTGTTATAGCATAGAGATTATACTATACTTTTTGTACGTTAACAATAAGTTCTTTGTTTGCAAACAACCACAATTTAAACAAGTTAATTAAGGGAGGTGGTTTTGCTTCTGATGGAGTCGAGTATGACCAGATGAAAACCTTGCCCTTCTGTTGTAACTGAAAGCAATTTAAAAGATTTCCAGAGACATGGGAAGTGTCGCCCAAAGATATGAGATCTGTATGTGGTGAAAATGGTTAGTGAGGGCAGACTACTAACAATGATGTGTCAGTCAACTGAGGTCAGAGACAGATTAAAGAGATGCACAAAGTTCTATTGTTTAATACTTTTTTTTTTTCCTGAGACGGAGTCTCTTTCTGTCGCCCAGGCTGGAGTGCAATAGCATGATCTCAGCTCACTGTAACCTCCGCCTCTTGGGTTCAAATGATTCTCCTGTCTCAGCCTCCCTAGTAGCTGGTATTACAGGCATCCACCATCACGCCTGGCTAATTTTTGTATTTTTGTAGAGACAGAGTTTCACCATGTTGGCCAGGCTGGTCTTGAACTCCTGACCTCAAGTGATCCACCCGCCTCAGCCTCCCAAAGTGCTGGGATTACAGGCGTGAGCCACCACACCCAGCCTGTTTAATAAATTTTAAGCCTTTGGAAAAACCTCTTCCTGTTTGACATCAGCTTATTTTTATGCAGGCATTCGAATAAAGCTTATCTAGTCACAAATATATTTAATGTTCTTGTCAATGTCGTTAGTTAAAAGAGTATAATCTTCCTCTAGTTTTCATTAAATTGACACTTCTCAGCTCTCTTGAAATTGTACTAACCAGTATATTGCTGCAATACATGTACATCACGTTCAAATGCCAGGCAGGAACCGGGCTCTCAGCACCACATGGTATTTATATGATAACATGAGAATAAGTGGTTTACATCATGATATTGTTACATAATATTGTTACAATTTACTATAAATTTTGAGCACTTATGATGTTGTTGGGTTTTTTGTTTTCTGTTTTTCCCAGATGGAGTCTTGCTCTGTCACCCAGGCTAGAGTGCGGTGGCATGATCTTGGCTCATTCAACCTCCACCTCCTGGGTTCAAGCAATTCTCCTGCCTCAGCCTCCCGAGTAGCTGGGATTATAGGCCCACGCCACCACACCCAGCTAATTTTTGTATTTTTAGTAGAGATTGGGTTTCACCATGTTGGCCAGGCTGGTCTGGAACTCCTGACCTCGTAATACACCCACCTCAGCCTCCCAAAGTGCTGGGATTACAGGCGTGAGCCACCATGCCTGGCCGGGTTTTTGTTTTATGTATTTTTTAATTTCTTTTTTTAATTTTTAATTTAATTTTATTTTTTGTAGGGGCAAGGCTTTGCCACGTTGCCTAAGCCGGTTTTGAACTCCTGAGCTCAAGCAATCTGCCTGACTCGGTCTCCCAGAGTGCTGGGATTACAGGTGTGAGCCACCACTCCTGGCCATATTTATTTTCGAGAGAAAGGGGGGTCTCGCTCTATCACCCAGGCTGGAATGCAGTGAAGCAATGATAGCTCGTTGCAGCCTCAAACTCCTGGGCTCAAGCAATCCTCCCACCTCAGCCTCCCAAGTATTTTGAACTATAGATGCTTGCTGCCATGCCCTTGTTTTATTTTTTTATTTTGTTTTTCCCTACTTTCAGGGTGATTTCATCAACATTCTTTTCTAACCTTTCAATTGAATTTTTTATTTCTGATTTCACGTTTTTAATATCCAATTAACTCCTTATTTTGGGAATGTAACTTTTTTGTAGTATTCCAATCAGTCAGCATTCACTTAAAAAAAAAATAAAAATAAAAATAACTCCAGATATTTCAAGCAAAAAGGGATTTGGTGGAAGGGGTTGGCTATAGTAATGTCAGGAAGGCTGGATGAGCCAAAGAGAAGAGGATGCTGCCCATAGATCAGGAAGCTCCCAGTGCCCACCCCCACTGCTGCTCTGCTGGAAGCACAGCCCTGCCATCATCGCATTGAACTGTACCACTGCCACTGAACAAAGTCAGGATCCCCTACTGTGACCATTGTATCATGCCCGGCTGACTCTGCAATATCATTTTGATGTGTCTTCAGTATGGATTTCTTTTTTTTTTTTTTTTTTTTTTTGAGTCAGAGACTCACTCTGTCACCCAGGGTGGAGTGCAGTGGTGTGATCTCCAACTTTCTCAGTTTTCTTTGATAGGAGAGTGGTCCAAATGACCTTTTCTGCCATTACTGGAAGTTGAAGTTTGATGTGTCTCTTGATTTTCTCATACTCATCATTACTTTAGTATGTACTTATTGCCATTAAAATAAAACAAAAATAACTTAAATTTATTCAACATCAAACATAACACATGCTGTCATATATAACAATCAAGACTCTCAATTGCAAGTTTGGGAACCCCAACTCAAACTGACTTAAGAGGAGAAGGTTCATGTAAATGAAAAGCCCAGAGACATTTCTGGTTTCACTACAGTCAAATCGAAGAGCTGTAACAAAGTCATGAGATTTGGTCTCTCCATCCTTTTCTGCTTCTGTTGGTATCACTTTCAGGCAGGCCTTCAGAACCTGTGAATTTGGCATGTCACGTGGCAAAGGGGAATTAAGAGTGCTAATCAGCTGACACTAAAATAGGGAGATTTTAGAAGAAAAAAAGGACAAAGCAAAAAATGGGGAGAGTACCTTGAAATTTTGGGAGGGCCCAATGTAATCACAGGTGCCATTAAAAATGGAAGAGGGAGAGAGAGACGTGTTAGAGATAGGAGTGGGGGAATGGTCAGGCACATGCAACATTGCTGGCATTGAAGATGGAGGGAGAGATCACAGACTGACGAGTCTAGGTGGCCTCTAGCAGCGAAGAGGCAAGGAAGCGGATTTTCTTCTAGAACCTCCAGAAAGGAAAACAGGCCTGCCCATACCTTGATTTTTAGCCCAGCAAAACTTGTGTCAGACTGCTAAACTACAGAACTGTAAGAATAAATTTGTGTTTTAACTAAACCACTAAGTTGTTGCTAATTTGTTACAGCAGCAATAGGAAACTAATACAAGTGGTTTCCCAAGGAAATCTGAGGCTTCTTAACAGGTAAGAGAGAATGTCGACAGGACAGACAAAAATAACAGATGTCTACTATACCACATACGGTGTTATGGTAGACATTGGTTTTCATCCACAGTTCCAGGCTTATAACTCCCATAGCCCCTGTTAGTTCTTTTGTTGTAATATTGGGTGTGTGTTAGGCCTCGGGAAGCAGAATCTCTCCTTCTCCTGCCCTCCTTTCACCCGCCCCAAGGCAGGACTCTGATCTTTTTCAGGCTTTCAGATTGTGGGTCTTAAGATCCTCCCCAGAGAGGTTCTCCCTATATCCTGGGGGAAGGAATGCTGAGGTCTTGAAGCTTCCATAAAAACCCATGAGGACGGTTCAGGGAGCTTCCTGATACCTGGACGCGGGGAGGTTCCTGGAGGGTGGCGCCCCCCACCCCCTCACCCACGGAGGGCTTGGAAGCTCTGTGTCTATTCCCCCATACCTCACCCCACATGTCTCTTCATCTAATTCCTTTTTTGTTGTTTTTTTCATGCATTTTTTTAATTTTTAATTTTTCATTTATTTTTTTGAGATGGAATCTCACTCTGTCGCCCAGGCTGGAGTGCAGTGGCACAATCTTGGCTCACTGCAACCTCCGCCTCCCAAGTAGCTGGGATTACAGGCAAGGGCCACCACACCTGGTTGCTAATAAACTGGTAAATGTGTTTCCATGAGTTCTGTGAGCCACTCCACCAAATTAATTAAACTCAAAGAGGGGGTCACGGGAACCCCAACTTGAAGCCAGTCAGTTCCAGAGGCCTGGACTTGTGACCGGTGTTTGGGGGGTGGGCAGTCTTGGGGACTGAACCCTCCACCTGTGGGATCTGACACCATCTCTGAGTAGACAGTGTCAGAAATGAATTAAAGGACACCCGGCTGGTGTCCACTGCTTGGTGTGTGGGGAAACCACCCCCAACATTTGGTCACAGAAATCTTCTGCATTGATGATTGTTGTGCTGTGAGAATGAGGAAAAGCATGGTTAGAGTTCTCCCTACACACCATGTGAAGCACTGTGTCACAATTACACATTTTTAAAAGCCAAATGGCACCTACATTTTTTGTTTGTTTTTGCCATTACTTTCAGTGGCAACAACCACAATTACTTTTGCACCGACCTAATAATATACTTTGAGCAGCATTAGAGTTTTATTTTATTTTATATAGTTTGGATTTATTTTAGTGCTGTTTACAGGGACTGAAAAGCTCCATTCTTTTTAAACAATTTTCTAATTAAAGTATAACATACATACCAAAAATCCAAATGTATACAGATTACAATTTTATAGCTCAATTAGTTTTCACAAACTAAAACTAATGCATCCCAGAAGCCTGCCCCATTCTAGTCAATACTTACTTTGCCGAGGATAATTGTTATCCCAACGTTTTTTTTTTGTTTTTTTTTTTTTTAGATGGAGTTTTGCTCTTGTCGCCCAGGCTGGGGGGGTGCATGGCCCAGGCTGGGGTGCAGTGGCATGATCTCAGCTCACTGCAACCTCTGCCTCCCAGGTTCAAGTGATTCTTCTGCTTCAGCCTCCTGAGTAGCTGGGATTGCAGGCACCCACCACCATGTCTGGCTAATTTTTGTATTTTTACTAGAGACAGGATTTCACCATGTTGGCCAGGCTGGTCTCAAACTCCTGACCTCAGGCAATCTACCTGCCTGGCCTCCCAGAGTGCTGGGATTGCAGGTGTGAGCCACTGCACCCGGCCTGTCCTGACTTTTAATACCGTAGATTTGTTTTGATTGTTGTAGTAAGTGGAATTATAGAGCATATATTCTTTTGTGTTTTTCAGTCAACATGTTTGTGAAATTTATATTTTCTCATGTGTTTATAGGTGTTAATTATTACTGCTGCATAGGGTTTCGTTGTGTGAATATGCCTAATTTTTTTTTTTTTTTTTAG